ACACCCTGCCTTCCAGGGGTAATGGGAAGAGTTCATTTCAAAACTCTGGAATACTTAAAAAATCATGCCACACAATCTATTCCTGTCCTCATTGGATAGAAGAGTCTTGTAATCTTGCTGGCTGCCTGATCAAGGATGTATGCTTTCACAGGTTCAAGGCTGTATGTTTTCACAGGTCAGAAGTGTGCCATTGACTTCTTAAATACTGTACCAAAAGACAGCAGCCAGTTGGGTGTTTATGAGTGATCCTTAGCTAGATTATGAAAGTGATCATGAGTGGGTGTTGCAGTAAACACTGTGTCTCAGACCACATGGTTCAGGCCCAGGTTGATTAGTTCTACCTTCACCTGAGGAAGAAAACCATCTTCTAAGATGTTGTACCAGAGTTTTACCTTGAGGTGTGTTATAGCTTTGATATGAAGTGTCACCCCAAAGAACATAGTTTTCAGTAGCTTGGACCCCAATGTTGCTACTATTTTATGAGGTTCTGGGAACATTAGGAGGGACCTAGCTGAGGAAAGCAGGTCATCGGGGGTATCTTTGAAGGCTGTATCTTCTTCCAGGCTTCTTCCTGGCCTTCCTCTTCCTTAGCATTTTGTGCTCTTAGTGCTTGCTTCCTCTCGCCCATAAAATTCATAGCTGTCCCTTGACTCATACTCCACAAACCATTATGTATGCACCATGCTCCAAGTCTGCTGAAACCACGAGCCCCAACAAATCCTTGCTCTGTGTAGTGTTTTCTATCGATGCTACTCTGCAGTGAAAATGTGTGTTCTTCCTTACCTTTATGATTTTTTTATATGATCAAATGAGTAAACAAAATAAGAAATAAGAAAAAAAGTTCTTTTACCAATAGTTAGTTATAACCAATAAGATATTTATAAATCTGATTACTTAGAAACATGCCTCTTATGAACGATCTTGGATCAAAAGCTAGAGATTTGTTGATTGTTCTATTTCCTCGTAAGAAGCACACCACTTATTTCAGCCAGCTTTGATGGAGTTATACCTGGATGATGACTCTTACTTCCTTTCAGACTCCCACTAGGGGTAGCTACAGGTGCAATAAGAGGGTTCTTGCTACACTTTCTACATGGCCTGTTTCCCTCTAGCCTGACTGCACATCCTCCACACACACAAACACAAATGACATGCAACTAGCCAGCTAATAATTCCCTGGTGACCAGAAACCATGATGCATGGCAAGACCTGGCATCAGCCCCGCATAAGCATATACCCTGCTGGCACCCCAGGCTGTGTTTAGTTAAGCCACTTTGCCCAGGGATTCAGGTAATGGCCTCATAACAGTTCTGACTGTTTATTCCCAAATAACACCAGGGAGTGTTTTCTGAGATAGAGAAAGGCTTCTGTTGCAGCACAAATGTGAAGTGTCCTCCACGGATATTGTGTGGACACTTGGCACCCAGGTGTTGGTGCTTTTTTAGGAGGTGATGGACTTTGAGTCTGGAGCCTGCCTTGAGGGAGTGAATCACTGGAGGTAGCTCTTATGTCTGTTTCAAGATCCCCTTCTTGCTATCTGCTTCCTATCTGCCGCATGAGTACCCTCTGTCCCATGCTTCTGCTACTTTGATATCCTTCCTTATTACATCTCCAGAGGCAACAGATCCAAGGACTATGGACTGAAGCTTCTGAAACCACAAAGCACAATAAATAATTTCTCCCTTTAACTTGCTATGTAGGTGTCGATAAATTGCCTCATCTGGCTAAAGTTCTTGCTGCCAAGCCTGATGATTGAGATTCCATATCCAGTACCCACACAGTGAGGAGAGGACTGACTTTGCAGATGTCCTCTAACCTCCACATGCCCACCATGCCACATGCCTGGGCACTCACACATGTATACTAAATATATAAACACATACTGTAAATTCTTACACAGATTTTTTTCGTATCTATGAGAAGTTTGACCACACAGTTCTATCTTGACATTAACTGGTGATGAGTTTCTCAAAAATAGGGCATGACATTAATTCCTAAAGAAAGAGTGCACAATACTGTCTCTAAATATCTTTTCCTAACTGTTATAAAGCAACGACCACCCAGGCATCTTCGGTTCAGACCCAGTCAATCAGGCTATAGTAGTTGAAGAATGCCAGTGTGGAATACCTTTATTTTTATATCCACACAGTCTAATAAATCAGGGGCTGAAGGAAAATGTTTTCATATATATATTCTGTGTTATGTTTTAGGCCCCATGGCCCATTTGGAATAAAGTAGGATATAATGGTTTTTCTTATCAAAAGTGTGTTTACCTAGGGATAGAATTATTAAGCTCTCAAAAAGTATTCATTTTACATATCAATAAAAGTGCATTCAAAATGCATGAACAAAAATAGGAAGGCTCTTTGTGTTTACATACTCTTAATTTAAGGCTTTATAGAGCAATGTAAGTGTGTAAGACTATTTCTGGGAGCAATTAATTAATTAATTTCTTCAGCCCTAGATTTGTACTTAAATATAGCTATGCCGGGGTACACACTCATCCTTCACTGGGTGGACAGTGGCTACCCTACACCCTGTATTATCAACTATGCTAGTGAAGCACATACATACCCCATACAAATGAAAGGATCATAAATATGCTAGAATAATTTCAGCAAATGATGGGGACTAATATTGGTATCTCTAGTGGGAACTACTTGGAATCAGTGAATAGATTGGAAAACATTTTTGAAAAGACACTTGATGTATAATGTATGTTTCAATGGTATTTGGAGCCATTAAACATGAAAAAAAAAAAAAAAGGCCTAAATAGTTGTATTACACCAAAACTTTACTGTTTGTTGAAAGTGGAGGTAATTGTATATGTGATTGCAGACTACTCTTTCTCACTTAAAAACTGAGACCCAACCCATATGTTGACAAATTTTTATGTGATTAGAATGATTTCATTTCTGAAAACCTCTCATACAGTTCCATGAAAAAGCCTCTTGACTATAGTTTAGCTCATAGCACTGGCGCTACATAGGCACTCATACAGACAATGGTCTTTTGTCTTCAGGATGTGTTTATCACACATGTTTTACTTTTTCTTCTTGAGGACAGTTAGTACTTTATGATCTAGACATGCATACAGTGATCAGTTTGTACTTTCATACTTGAGTAGTTTATTAGTGATCTTAACTTGACTATGTTGGGAATAAAGTAGGGTACAGAGAAGGAAAACCATAATATAATTGGTTCCCTTGGTTGTTTCCACAGATACTATCTAGTGTATATTTGGATTAACACATACAGATACTATGTTTATTCCAAAATGTTTATGTACAAGATATAAATTCATTAAATTTATAAATCTGAACTTGTTCCTTTATGTCCTTCTGATCACTCATAAGCAAACTGAAGATTATAATACAATATTAATTTCCCAAGGTTTTATTTCCATAACAATGTTCAACATTTAATTTATAATTAAAGCTAAAGTCTTCTTAGTTACTCATTTGTAAATCATCAGAATACTCAGTATTCTCTGTGTACAATCTGTGTACCTAATGAACTTTTGTTGTTTAAAGCTATGTCAGTCGTTAAGTACAACTTGATAGGGAATAAATGCAATCACTATGAAAAACAGAGCAGCTTTTTTTATGAAGGGTTTAAAACCAATTTTTATTACCAAATACATGCAAATTTCATGCATGGCTGATGGGTTTCATGTCTAATCAGCCTCTGGGCAAAAATTATAACAAATTTTAAAAATCACAATCTGAATTCTAAGGAGTCCTTATTATGCCTTTAAAGTGAGGTATTTTCTTTTCTTTTCTTTCTTTTCTTTTCTTTCTTTTCTTCCTTCCTTCCTTTCTTTCTTTCTTTCTTTTTTTTTGTAAAAGGTTACTTCTATATAAGAGCTTTGCCTTTGGGGTTTTATTGTTCCCAGCCTCCCTACTGTTTCAAACTTAAACTAGTTAAATGGAGTCATCCTGAAATGCTTTGTATAAGATATTTAACCAAAGTTCTTATCCAGTCCCTCAAGAGGAAAAAAAAATAAATAAATTTGTCCTTCTTTCTGCAGAAGGAAGCCTCAGGCCAGGAATGGTGGCCCATGTTTTTCACCTCAGCTGTTCAGGAGTCTACATCTGGGTGACCACCAGAACTTAGGAGGTGGGTCAGCCTGGGCAACACAGTGAGGTGCTTTCACAAAGAGAAGAAAAGTAAAAGACCCCAAAGACTGAAGTTCCATTCCCACCAGTTGAGACAATTGCTAAGTAGGGGATCAGTAGGTGCTTTCTTAAGTTGCACCTTTTCAGTTTGGGGAGGGGGTGGTTCTCTTCCTCCTACTTGCACAGAAACCTCTTTCCTCAAAGAGCTCTCAGAATTGCCAGCACATTTGTCTGACCTGAGCAGCTAAGCCGGGGGCTTGCTCGGAGAAGACTCATTTGTATTTTCTAGGAAAAGCAGGATTTATATTCATAGCATTGCTAAGAGGATGGTCAATTTTCCCAGAAATGATACTTTCAACTACAAAAGAACCACAGTGGAGGAAAGAACAGTGCTCATTGAAAATGCTGTGTTCTTGAGACAGGAACCTTAACTTCATGTGTTGATGTGGTTTTCCATGGATTTGCATGAAGATAGTCTTAATACCTCAATCATATGTTGAGTGACACATCATTATGACATAAAAGTAAACTAAAGATGAAAGTCAATGGGTGATAGCTGACAGACATTCACTTTTAAGTTGTCTGTTCCATGTTACATATTTAAAAAAAAAGTTCAGCACACATGTATCATTCTGTATGTAATATGGTTCCTAATGGGAACTTTTTATTTTTTAGTTAGTGGAGGAAATAGAAGACATTATGCCTGGATACTTTCTTTTTCAAATATAGGATTATTCATCCCCTCAAACTTTCAGGTCTAATCAATTAGTATTTACTCCCTGTGTTACATTCTGGGCCCTGTGGTAGAGGATCAACAATGTACAAGAGACAGGTTGTCTCATGTGTAACATACGCAAGAGTCTATGATATTGGCCCTTGCCGTATATAGATTAAATTCCATGGTGGAATATATCTATAGGATTCAGAAACGTTTTTATCCTGTGGAGAGGTTTCAGGTGGAAGAATGGACTTCTTATCTTCATTCCCATATGGTGAACTGATCTCCTCTGGAATGGGTTGGAACAAAATGCCAGGAGGATATCTATGAAATATCAGGGCTTATGTGGCACTGGTTATTTACAAATCTGTGACGTACATGTTCAGTGTTCTGGGTTGCCAGATACCAGCTCTTTCAAACAATTTCTCTTCTTTCCTTTAAATGTCTAGTGGAAAAATGAAAAAAAAAAACAATACCTCATTTTGCCTTATCATAACTAAACACCACTAAGAAGAGATAAAACTAAATAAATGCATGAGAGATAGGGACAATGTGGTAAATCTCCTGACTGAAACTCATTTTTTCTCAGAATACATGTCCAGCCTGCAGTTTTATTTCTTCTATTTATGAATAAAGTCCCTTTCCATGTATGTTATTTCTCCAGAAAAACAGGATCAGATAATTGCAACAGCAATCCAGAGAAAATTCAATCTTTGTGTCAGCTAGTGTCATACTTTGAATATCTCTCCTTTGATCTAGAAAAAAACCTGCTACCAACATTAATTTCTTATTATTGAAAAATATGGTATAATAGGTAACTATCATATGATTTTATATTCTCTTCATTGATGGTAAAGCATTATGCAGCCTTGGAATTATGCTGATAATGCATGTGTCTTAAGTTCTCAGGGTAAGGTCAAACAGGAATACACAGCATTGAATTATAAGGTATCTTCTGCACTCTGTTAAAATGTGCTGTATCAAATTCCATCTTTTGTTCATGCAATGTTGTCAATAGTCAAAACATTATAGACCCTTTACAACACGAACGCCAATTATATCGGTAACATATCTATCCTTTTATTCTTTCATTTTGTAGAACTTTATGATAGTGTGTCATTATACTTATGAAGCACCCTGGTGCAAATATTATAAAATGATATTTATACTTATTAGGCAGCTTAAGAAAGAAATGGAGAATTCCAATTCCTGCAATAGTCAACTGATATTCTCTATGCTAGCAAATGTCTTACAAAATCTATAGGGTAACACTGATCTGATCCAATAAAGGATAACTGTTTGTGCATAAAAGAAAAAGGGACCTCACACAACTCAGCATTTTACTTCATGTTACAAAAAATGGTGATGTGATGCTCTGAGTCTGGCTTGTAGCTCAGCCTCCTTGTCACTTTAATGCATCGCTCTGTCCCTGATCACCTCCTTGCTCAGCATGTTGCAGGTAGTAGGTTGACCTGATTATTATAGAGGACAATTGCTGCTGTGACATCTAGCTCCCTCATTCATCAAAATAATTCATTTCCCCACACCCACAGTTCTTACAATGTCCACAATTCACACACGTGTCATTTAGTGTTATGAGTTGTGCCTCCTAGTCAAAAATCAGTTCCATTTCATTAGTGTATCATGAAACAGGTCTTTTTAGTTTAATTGGAATTTTAAAGAAGTATAAGTTACCCCCAATTGTTCTAAAAGAAAATCACACAACAAAACCCAATCTTTGTGACTATGTGTTTTCTGTTTAATTTTTTTCTGTTTTTTTCTGTTACTACCACTAAGTGTAGCTCTCTCCTTACATGAACTTTCTGGACTAATCACCTTCTTGGCTGTTACTTAGACTTTTAAACAAATACCATGGTTCTAGTCCCCAGTGACAATAGGAAAATGGAGTTAAATAAGTCTGAGACTAGTCATGTATTTTTCATGCTGTGCTTTGTCTAAGAGCAGTTAAACTTAAGCAAACAAACCCTCCAAACAGTTGCTCAGCTATAAACACCCTAAAAAGCTTAGATGAGCACAAAAAAAATCAATGCAAATCTATAGAAGCTCCGAGTTCTCCCATTATCACAGAATATGCACTTTGCAGGAAAACAGCCACTTACTGCAGACAGAACTGTATTGCCCTTTAGTGCACGCACATGCTCAGTTTCCCCTGCAGTTGATTGCCTCTAGATTCCCGGCAGAGTGGAGAGAGGAGCAGCAATAGCTCAGGAGGGCACTGGCGCAAAAATACGGAGTCCATGGTTTCAGTTTCTAGCCTGCTGAATGCTGGCTTCTCCCTAAGAACATGTTCTGAGTAGAGACTCACTCAGTTTCTTCTTGGTTCCTTCCTGACTTTATGACCTCTTCCATTTTAACAGTTGGGGGTGTAGATTCCCTAGGAAATACATGGCTGTTTTCTGTGTGCCAGGCACGGTGCTGAATGACGTATGTACAAATCTGTGGATTATAGCATTTTCTACAGGTTGTTCCCAAATTTATATATTTGAACCTTTCAGTTATTGGGCATTCTTGGGAGGTGGAGCCTGGTGGAATTTGTGTGTGTGTGTGTGTGTGTGTGCGCGCACACACACACACACACACACACACACACACACACACACACTGAGAGTGAGGAGCCCTTATAAATGAATTGAGGTTTTCCTTGAAGGGTTCAGTTTGGTCCACATTCTCACCTGCCCTTTCTCTCCATATGGCTTCCATGGCATAAAGTGCAAAAGCCTTACAAGATTTTGCAGCCTGATTTTGTTGTTTTCTAGTTGCCTGAACTATGTGCCTAAATAAGTTTCTTTCCTTCATAAATTACTAGGCTTCGTGTATTCCTTCCCTCTTTCTGCCATGGACCAAACCCTACTTAACAGATGGGAGACCTGAGTAAATAAGACTACTCAGCAGTGAGTAGAAAACCCATGACCTTGAAAAGTGCTTGACCTATACTGGTCATGCCCAAGGCAGAGGCCCTGTCCCCACAGCTTGGTAGCCATCCCAAAAACAGAGGGCTCACTGTCCTTCACTGGAGGAAAGGAGCTAAGAAGCTGAGTGCCTGACATACGCAAACCTGCCTCTTTGACAGAGGACTTCTGGAAGTACACTGTGCCCAAGTAAGAGGACCTGTGTTGGTCCAGTTCCACTGAACTATATCCAGAAATAGAGAGAAACATGGGAATCAAGGAAAACACTAAAAAGACCACTGAACATTGCACTGAAGACAAGGCCATGGAAGACATGAAGGAATGGGATTTGGGAGCAGAAAGGAAGCAATAGTGGGATAAGAGCAGAGATAACAAAACCTCAGAGGACATCGAGTCATAGTTAGCCTGCAAAAGTGTTGGAGGGCCCTCAGTGTGACTGTTCTTTAAGACACACCAAGTTGCAAGATCCTGGGCATACACCTTGAATATCATCACTTCCTTTATGTTCCTACTTATGTCCTGCCACTGAAATCACCTCAGAATATCTCTGTACCAGAATCTAGGTCAAAGAAGGATTCTGGGAATATCTTCCTCCCTGGGGGAGCCAGAATTATGGCCTGAGTTAAGGCTGACTTTGTAAGGCATATACGGGGAGTTCACAGCCAGCTTCAGTCTATGGTGGAAAGGCAAATAGAAAATCAAGTCAAATCAACCACAGGCTGACCTCTGGATATACATGGCCTCACTGGAAAAGGGCACTTCTATCTTTCAGATTGCAATCAGTCTTGTGCTAAGATTATGATGGAGATGGTCATAACCTTCCAGATGACTAATCACTCATCTTTTCCTAGCATGTGACTAATCTACTGAAACTGCAAGAAACCTGACACCACTGACTGGAAGCTTTGAGAAGCAATGCATCTTGCTACTCTGGACCTGTGATCATGGGGACAGCGGAGCTGCCTTAGAATGTAATGATACTGTCTGAGTGGCTGGACTGAAATGCTATTCACGCTGCCAGTTATTACACTCAACTGAGCAGGCCACCAACTTATTTCCTTCAAGCTATTAACAGGTCCACTTGGTGATTGCTTATGGTGTGCCAGGCTCCTTCAGCAAGTCTTCATCGCCACTTCCTCTGAGGAAGTGGATGGTAATAACTATTGTTAGTCTGTGTTACAGATGTGAAGGATGCTCAAGAGAACAAGGACTTTGTCCTAAGCAAGATGGCTGAGGGGTGGGGAAAAGATGAGATTTGAACCTACTTATTTAGGTCTGAGAAGCCCCTCTTTTTATTGCTCTCACCCACTATGCTCTGACATTAGAAAAAGACATTTTCTACCCTGACAAAGAAAACAGAATGGAGCCCGTGAGTATGAGCTTTTTCAGGAAATAAATAAATAAATAAATAAATAAATAAATAAATAAATAAAGGAAATTGGCCCTTCCTTCTGGATGAATTCTGCTCAAGATTTCCTTGGGCATCCACACAGTTTCTTTCCTTATGGACTCCTAAATTCTACAGTGATTATGTCGTTTCCTCTCTGCAGACATTCTCTGCTTGAATACATCAACAGATGTGAAATGATTTCTTCTACCCCCCCCCCAAAGATAGGTGAGTCATTCACTAGTTGAGTCTATAGCAAAACAATGCACATTTTAAATGCTTTCTCTGTGCAGCTGAAGGCTGCTTCTTTAGTTAGCTGCACCAATATGGACTGGAAACCAATACCACATGGAACATAATGATCCCAGCCCATCACTGAGAAATGCTCTTCTGTTTTAACTAACGCGGCTCATTACCAGAACTTGGGACATGCCATGCATGCTCAACATGAATATTTGTCTACCTGGGAAAGTATATTTGTTAGTGGTAGCAGAACTCACCTTGGAAATGCTTCATGGACTCAATGCTTGTCCTTTTTGTGTCTTTCAAGGCCCTGCCCATGGCAGTGATATCTGTGATTTTACTGACTTCCTATTGGCTGCTTCAAAGAAAAACCTAGGAGCTGTGCAAAACCTAAAACTTAGACATGAAATCATAGAAGGGGCTTGGTATGAATTTAAACAGGGTACCCTCAGTGAGCATTGGAGGACATTCCTAAGTCCAGCCTAGCCTGTGGATAATCTCCTTTTTCCAGGACTGACAAGAATATTTAGGTTCATGCACTTTGTCACAGGGAGTGCTGCTGCAACAGGTGAGATTCACTTTTGAAAGACGATCAGTCTCTCCCAAAATACAAATATTTCTTAAAATGTTAGGGTCACATCTGTGTAGACTTCTGTCTTTAATAAGTATCTCAGACCATTACATTTATGAATGTGAGTCTTGATAACATGGGGACCCAGGATTCTCCAGGGGTGGGGGTGTCAGAAAAGGAAGCCCAAGGAGACAGCAGTGAAATAAACAACACAATGGATAATGATGCAATCTTGTTCTTAAGATGCTGCCCTTGCAACTCTGAGACACCATCTTACTCCTGTCAGAATGGCTAAAATTGGAAACACCAATGAC